CGTTTGGCGTCACATGAAGGTGACGCCAACATGCATGCTTACGAAAAGATAGAGAATACAGTGCCGTTGGAACGACAGGGTAGGGCCCTAGAAGTCACGACGTAGAAAAAGAGCGGAGTCCACAACATAGGAATGAACAACCAAAGCAATGGGCGAGCGCTAAGCGCTTTCCTATTGGGCGTCAGATGTGTTCATTCGATATTGCTTTATACAAATTATTTCGATTAGGGTTCACTGTTTAAACTATTAACTGATATTGCTTAACTCATTGTTGTTTCTTTCGTCCTTATTGTTTTACTTATCCTTATTTAGATTGCTTTTCTTATTGTATTATTCTTTACGGGCTTTCTACTCTACAGAAAATCAAGTTAGACCAAAGAAAGCTTTTGATAGAAAATCTTCAGTTGATCATCGCGAGCACACCATCCACACCTCAGTTCCGCGCGAAATTCCTAGTTCATTCAAACAATTTTATACAATTCCCGTTTAATTCCAGCATTATAGACCATGCCAGGGGTAGAAAGCGCTCCTAGCCTTGAATGTATGGAGACTTAACAATTAATACTATTTTGATTTATGGAATATTTAGGTTTATGCGATGAGCAAGTCAAATTACAGTCATTGCCCATATAAAACATAGGCCAGATGCTCCATATATAACAGTCCATACATTCGTTAATTGTTTGAGTGTGCCGAGCTCACTTTTTCGCGTGGATCTGTGATGAGAGTTTTCGGCGAATATGACCGGTGGTTCTTCCCTCCCTACCACTAACATCGACCCCGATATCGTTATCATCTCTTCTTAAGTGCCCCCTACCGTTAGCACCAAAATGGCGCTTAACGATATTTTACTGTTTTAGTTTTCTTACCTCTTATTTCAAACGAAAAATTTCTACAGGACATCCCTAATTATCTTTTATCGGTATCTTTACCATTTTCCTATTCATTCATTGCTTATATATAACATAGCTCATACGTTACAAACCCGTTTTCTTATTATGGTCGTATATGTGTGCTTTTCGTGGTACCTACGGGTTCTGTTTAGTGTTATTTAACCGGAGAGCCACGCAGGTTATGTGCGTAGTAGTGTGTGCTACCGGTAACGGCTCCGCTTATAGTGGGAATTAACGATCATTTAGGTAAATGTCGACAAAGGAGCATTAGATGAACCAGCGGGACTGGAGACAGCATGAAGGCTACGAATTTTTCCGAATAGGTTTTTTAGCACTCGGTCATTCGAAAAACCCGCCCAAAGTCTTGGACATGTCCAAACACCCGGATCACCTGATTTCACTTCGATCAGGTCGGACTCAGCGTTTATTGGCGAATTGCCTTAAAACGTAGGGAAATACTACATAAAGCAATATCAGATAACTAGTGAATCGTCACATTGCCCTCTCCTCAGAGGAGACCTGTAAAGTAAAGTAATATTTTCAGCCGTCTGTGCTACGGGGGAAGAGAATTAAGAGGTTCCGTGAGTTGATGCATGAGGTGAGATGAGGTAAGGCCCCGGCCTGATCACAGTACTTTGGACAGTGGTGTCAATGATGGAAGGCTTCCGCAGAACGCAATGGTCGAAAGTGTTGGCGGAAGATTGGAAGACGAGAGTGTACGAGCCTTTCCACAGCCAGCAAAATAAATTGTCCACCCACATGGATGGCCTCAACAGTTTCGTAAGCCCGATCTTCTGTTGTTCTTTTGCATTTTGGCTGACTGTCGACGGCCGACCTGTGAGTGAAAATTACGCGTTCTGTCAGAGATCGGTTTTACACCCCCATGCTATTGGCTACGGTGCGTAGAGTGCATGTCTTCCTGCAAACGCAGTTGATCGATAAGCTAAAAGAATGCTGGAGAAAATCTGTTCGAGCCGTGGACGGCGGCCCCATGTTCTAGCGGACGCTCGGACAAACGCTCGTCCCAGCTGTCCGGGACTCATAATGGAGGATTGAAGACACTATTTTCTTGATCGTTCTCTATGTTCGCTTTACCACCTCAGGAGCTCTAACAGCGGAAGGTCGCATGCAGGTCTGGTTATATACCAGAAGCCGATTTGACTTACCCAAGGAAAAGCGTTTGGTTTTGCACAAGCTTACATTACCCGTTCGTAGCACGGGATAGGCATCCTTTAGCAATGGTAATAGCTTGTCGTAAGTGTCAATTGCTCTCCTCG